CGTACAAGTATAGGCAGATTTTCGTTTTATAGTATCAACTGGTAATTTGTAGGAGCTTAGGAAGTCTGCGCATAGTAAAGGGTTACGGACATCGGCTACAATAAAAACACCCAACTTAGGTGACGTCTAACTTCTAGGTCTAATATCAGACGTTGTACACCATATGTCTTCATTTCAGTTTTGTTGTCTGCTCGCAATGGGTATTTTCCACACATGGCAATACGTCTCTTGGCTAAGGTAACTGAGATAATACTGACCTTGGCCTCGATGTCTAGCAAGACGTTTTAGCCGGAATTCCTATCCAGGACGTGGGGGGAGGCCACTTAAAACACAACCAGTAACAGTTGTTGCCACTATTGTCTGTCGGCAAGTCTCCCAACAGGGAAAATGACTCCAAGGATTTGCAGGACTTAAAACGCCTCCTAGCGTTATCATCATATTTTTTATTGTACCAACAGCTGTGGTTGTTCTATTTGTTCGTTCATGTGTCGTGTTAATCCTTACCCCCCCCCAAGAACTAGATCAGGACCTTAGAGATGTGAGATTGGAAACTGTAATTCATCCGGCTTGTTATCAAGGCTAGCAGAAGTGCGTACATGATGTGTACGTAGGCAGTTTAATTCAGCTGTTAACGATGCTATGGTCGGGGTTCGCTTACTACTTGAAATGTCTGTTATCATCTGTATGTAAGGTATCGTACCATATGTTAATTCCAAAACCTTGTCAGACATGCTGGCCAGTGTCTTGAAATCTAAAGGTTAACTGTGAGCACAAAGAATTCGCCTGACTAGCGTTGGCAAGCGTTGTAGTCAAATTTCTTTCGGAAAAGAGTGAACAACCTTATGAGGTCCGATCAACTGCATCATCTGCCATAATAATTGAGACGGTGACTTATCACCTGACTAGGACCGATACATCCCAAATATAATTCTTGTTCTCAGTTATCCGCTGCTACGAAGCAGAACTTTGATATATTCGCCGTTTATGATTACGGATTACACGTATATCCTCATCAGATGACTAACTTGGGTACACATCTCGGATTACAGTAATTATAGTGGCAACTGCCAACTACTTATAACTGTGGATTACAAGACCAAAATAAACTTGAACACACCCACTCCAGACAATTTAAGTAACGTCCAGCAAATTTTTATTTGTGTACAATTTATAGTTCATAAATTAACAAAATGTTTCTTTTGTAATGACTTTGTCATTATTCTTGGGGTTGGTATATTTCGGTCCACTACAGACCAGAGGACACTTAGCACTGAGAATCAGAGAGAGGCATCAAAAAACTAGTAACGCTGGAAAACAACTGAAAAGAATTGATCACGGCAGAGTTTTATGGAGAATCCTGGCTCCTCCAATAGGTATAATGGGTGCAATTAAGTAATTAATATGCATATAATAGTGATCAGGCTATATTTTCTAAACTCAATTAAGAACTGGGTTGTTTTCCACTTCACAAGCGTGCATGTCGTACCAGTCGCAGTATGACGATGGTTTGGGTGTGTGCAAATGCAGTACTTTTCCACATTACCGTCGCGTTCATATACGACATTCCCAAGTTAGAAGTTGCTCGTAAATAAGAAAGAAGGCATAAAAAACTTCTAGTCAGGACGAGTGACAGACTATAAATCCTGGGTGGATTTTGTGGCATCTATCCACCATTATCCAAGCTTATGTTTCACCGAATATAAGTAGTCAGCATATATAGTCAAGAGGAGTACCAGAAGGTTCAGTTGTGTTCTGTCTGGTAACCCTAATTCTCAGGCTCCAGTACTGCTAAGAGATCTTGAGGACCTATTGAATATAAAGTGGTATGACACAAACGAAAGAGAACAGTCAAGTCAGCGCAAAAATCCACTAGTATGATATTTAAAATATATGTTCATACAGTAAGATATATGAATTGTTGATTTTAAACACTACTCGGTCAAATTATACAAATCCGATTACCAATCCGATTGTATAAGAATCATGTGAGAAGTGGTGGATACACATGTCGTTCTGAACTACTCTGAGAGCGAAATAAGTGTTAATTATAAGTCTTTGGTTTCCACCGCTCTGCATCGAATTCGACATTTAAACATCGGGTATTGTTTCACCCAAATCTTCTCTATCCGTTAATGAGGCACATTCGTTTGATCCACTCGTAGTTTACGACGCCAAATAACAACAGAACCGAATTCCGATCCAGATAGTAAACTTTATTTATAAATTACAAGTAATAAATCTAAACATATCGTTTGAATAAAAATTATAACAATTGCTGAACAAACCTTTAATTTTTAGGTTTACGGGGCAAAAGCTTTCAAAGTACGCGACCAAAAACAGAGTGAAAACAAAGTGTTCGAGGTAAAAGTTACAAACACACGAGTTCAAATTTTAATTAAAACAAATGCATCTAAAACATAGCGGAATAATTAATATTCAATACAACAGTTCTTAAAAGGTCGAATATTTTCAGTTCTTCTGCTACATTCACAGACTAACTTAGTTCCTCGCAATCCTAATAGTTTGAGACACAACACAAGTTCTACGAGACGTTCCCACCACCCATAAAGGATTGAACATTACGACTTATTTAATTGCCATAAATTTCTCCTATCTTAACACGTGCGAATGCAGAACTCTATTGATGAAAATCAGCGATGAGCCCGCGTCGTATTTCCTTTGGGACTGTCCATACCATAAGAAAAGACAAAGCTATAAAATTTTAGACTTTTACGCGTAGTTAGATTATATTACACTATTATGAATTCAATAGTATTGTTTGCAATTCAGACTTAGATGAACATCCGTCCAAGCCCGTTTGTTTTGTTTTTCGATCTTTGTTTTAAAGAACTGCATTAATGTTGCTGGCGAGCTATCCATGTGCTCAATGAACTGAAACCCATGGCTCTTCCAAACTACGTGTAAGGATAAGATCTTTCTAAAATTCGAATATCGACCAATAAATAGCTTCATTTATCCCTGGATACGAGAGAACACGTAAAAAACAATGTAAAAGTCCGGAGTAACGATTTTTCAAATGTACTAAATAAATATTTTTTCATTGAATGGGTTATCTGTATAAAAAATTCATCAACTATATGTGATGTTCCAGTCTTCTATACTTGAAAACAGCGTATTACAAGTGTAAAAACATCTGATGTTTTATGCTCTTTCAAAGTCCCTAGTATTTTATACTAATATTTGTGCCAGTAATAATTTACACATGTTGTGGAAAATTAACCAAAATATACGATGTAACGTTTCCCCGAGGCTCGTAAACTAGCATGGTACGCTTTTTGACCAAGTTTGTGAACAGACGCTCGTTGTTTATTTATCACTGGGCTATATTTTCATCAGATATCACTATGGCCCTATCTTCTGTACGATTGTACCATAGTTTTGAACTAAACCTTGTTGTATGATGAAACTCATATAACACGTAGGATAGCGGTCCTTTCTGTGAAATATGAATACGGCACCTAGCATTTTCGAACACATTTCCTCTCGTTTAGTGTTTCAGAACTGCATATAAGAGCATAATTATAAACAAAGATTTCATTTCAATCATCTAAAGTTATCTACATACGCCTTTTGTGAACACGCCAAGATGGTGAACCCCAATTTGCCGATTAAGAAGATAAGGTGAATGTGGGAGATCGAAATTGAACCTTGGTGACAATCATGCTCTTATGTGCAGCATGCACTCATTAAAGGAGTAAAAGAATCTTATATATCTCACATGTACTGACCATTATTAGACAGATACTACAAATTCAGGGATACATATATTATTCACGACGCAAAACCTGCTCATAAGACCATATGTGTCCTTTTCTTTTATCTAATGGTTGTTTATCAAGTTAACGCTAACTTATCTCCATGCGTCACTAATCACCAACCAAAATCAATATCGGCCTACCTTTCCGTAATGCAACAACTATCAAAGTCTAAAATACGTACTGTGATAGAATACTTCCGCTATACGCAAAAGAATATAAGCAGCACTAATATTAACCATAGCAATGATAATTTTAAACGACGTTCGTCACCATACTATATAGACATGAAAATATCTGAGATATATACTAGCCCACACATTCAAAATTAACCCCAGCATTTCAAATCCGAATGTATGTTAATGATCTTCCAAGTATAGTACAATCTCCAATGTTATTATACGCTGACGATATAAAAATCTGGCGAGTGATGACTGAAGACAAAGACGCATGTGCTCTTCAGGCAGAATTAAATAACATGATAAACTGGTCCAAAGAGTGGCTGATGCCTATCAACGCGGAAAAGTGTGTCTACATGCACTTTGGGGTTTCAAAGGTTAGTAGTTACAACATAAGGTATGTGCCATTACCCGTAGTCCGGTCTCATAAGGATCTAGAGGTGACAGTGAGTAATGATCTTAAGACGACAGCCCATTGCCGGGATGTCGCAGCTAAGGGGTTTCGAACCCTCTGGGCTTTAAAACGGACACTCACTAAGTTAGATACTACCATGTTCACCATAGTATACACATCCTTAGTGAGGACTAAGCTTGAGAACTGCGTTCAGGCTGCAAGCCCCTGTTTAAAAGGTAACTCGGATATCCTAGAAAAAGTACATAGGGCAGCTACCCATGTAGTTCCAGAACTCCGGAGTCTATCATACAAAGAGCGCTTGAAAAACTGGACCTCTTTATTCTGTCCTACCGCAGATTAAGGGGAGATCTAATTTTGATGTACAGAATACTGAGAAATGATTTCGGACTTAACTTATCCTCTCTTTTTCTACCCACTAGATTGGGAAACCTCAGAGGACATAGCAGGCGAATAGAAAAGCCAAGAACGAGCAAAATACAGGCGGCATATAGGTTTTTACACACACACACTCACAGAAGCTTACTAGAAAAGGAATAACATAGGCCGTAGGCCTTCTGTCCTTACTGCACAAATGTGAATCTGAAATCTGAAATCAAATGCCCGCCGTGAACCGAGCTGACCAAGGTCGTTGGAGTAAATGTACGGGCGGATTTGAAAGTATATTGCGCTTTCTTGTGTAATCGAGTCTGAACGTCACTTAAAATGGTTTGTAGTTTATTTATGTGTGAATACATAAATATTTTTGTTTCAAAACCCACAAAATCTAACATTACTTTGTTGTATTAGAGTACTGGAGTAAAATGCCACAGGTCATGCATCGAAGCATTTGAATGCTTGAAGCGTTATAAGAAGCACCGATACATCCTCTTCCATATTGAAGATGATAAAGAAATAAAAGTCCTTTGTCAAGCTGATAGAAGTAATCACCAATTAATTTCTTTACTGGTAGCGGAAACGTATCATAATTTCAAGGATAGTTTATTAAAAAAGATGGATGAAGGTGAAGGATGTTATGCAGTTTATGATTACGAAGCCGAAGGAAAACTACCTACTCTAATATTCGTTTCATGGTACGTCTGTTTGTGCCATAGTTACATATGTTTAGGGTTCCGTCTACACTGGATGTTAAAAAGAGAATGATATATGCTGCTTCAAAAAGTGTATTAAAATCGAGTTTGATTGGTATTAAACACGAAGTTGAGGCAAATGATGTGGACGAAATCGAGGAGGAAGAACTGCGCAAGAAAGCTTCATAACTGTTCATCTTAGTTGTATGTTTCGAAAATTCACATGGATTTTCTCATTTGCGGGTTAGTGCATTTTCAGAGACCTCTCACTCGTCAGACTTGTATTTTCATTTCTAATTTTGGTGATAGTCTGTCATACACATCCGTTTTTCAATCCTTTGGTCCAATGTACGCTTCTAATATATGTAAACTCCGAAATTCAGCTCCATCGCCCCGTGCATTATAAATATTTATGCTTAGTTGATTGAACCTTATTTATTCTAATTCTTTCTCCTACCTGGTCTATTAAAGTCTTAATTGTTAAATTTCTAAAGACTCTAACTCCAGAAGTTTAATACCATCAAGTTAATATTAGAGCTGATACTTGTTTTTTACGCATGTCTAATGATTGTACCATTAATTTTTGGTCATAAAGTGATCTCCGTGTTCTGATTCACACTTTTCTGTGGTATCTCTGGAGTAGAAAATACTCCTGAATGTGTTGATGAAGCTCTCAATCTCGTATTTTTTTTTACCTGTATAGTAATATTGCGAAACACTTTTTGGTCAGTGATTATCTGAATAAGATAGGAGTCGTCATATATTTATCTATGGTTTGGTTTTTCGGGAAGCAAATCACTTATTTTCGTTGCTATTGGTATTCTAGATTGTAAAGGTCTGTATCAACCACATGATAATTTGACTAGTACTATTTGTCATTTTACTAACTCTGAACTGATGACATTAGATACGAGACACAAGAAGCGCTTAGTTCACGTGCTGGCCCTGAAAATTTCAACAAATTTACTTGTCTTACGAGCGTTATAAATTTTGAATGAGACTGGATTTTACATCTTGGGACTGTCGTTTTTCTGAATACACGTTGCACATGGCAAACTCGTATATGATGAATGTTTTTCGAATCATTACTAATCATAATTTAAAGCTACTGTGGTTCGTCAAACTTTATAATTTTTCGTATGATCTTATTGATTGTACCGTGACATCGTTTCTTACAAAGCTAGCCCTATTTTAGTAACTATTACCTAGAATAACCGTTTGTCATTGTCTGTCCGTCTTTTCTAATCTTCCTTGAAACCTCATGGAATTTTCGCATTTTTCGAGTTACTAATGTAACACGATTATTCTTCTGCAAAACTATTGAACAAGGTAAAATTGTTTGGCAAGCGACAAGCTTAAGTCATTTGATTGTAAATATGTAACAGAAATTATACCTTAGGTACTCCATATGTTGTTTTTAATCTTTTCATCCTGCAGTAATGAAAGATAGATGTTTGGTTGCATACATTATGACAGATCTCTGCATAAGAATTTAGGCCTGACTATCTCTGTGATATAAACACAAATTCATTTTTAATCGTCCTCGTTTCTGGTTGTAATTAAGTTCTCTTACCTAGTTAATTTAAACAATTTCTTCTTACTGTTCTTATTACGGGTGATAGTAAGAATACACTGACTTGTATCATTAAAATGTAAGAGCTGTATTGATCTGCTTTTCTTGTTATTCCCACTAATATTTAATGTTTTATTCTAATAATTACCATTAAGGAGTTCAGGCGTTTCAAATATGATTACGTTAAGCTAGTGAAATTACCTGTTTTATTGTAGAACTCTTTAATCATGATAATCATTCAAGTATTGACTGAAACTTACGTATCATAGTATTCTTGTCTAAGGGTTTTTATTGGTTCATATTCCAATTTTCTTCACAATCTTGAGTGTGATGAATTTATATTTACGCTTAAACTTAATTCACAATTAGTTTGAATTCACTACTAACCTTTTTTTAAGATAAGCGAAATCATATTTATACGAAAAAATGTAGATAACAGTTTATGATTCACTAAAATGCTTTTTCTTAGCAATCAAACTGGCGTTAATTTAACCTGAAGCAATTTTAGAATTGTAATGCAAAGATGTACTGTCATGTGAAGTTTTCAAATGTGTCACAATGTGATCTTACCATATTAACTTTAGTCTTCAATTTTAACTCGTGATTCTAACTAAAAAATTTTTCAAGAAATTAATGTTTTACGAATGATTTTACAAACTTTGTTCATTTCATTTCCTCCAGTTTCTTGTATTATGAGTTAAACTGCAGTTCAATGGAGTATTTTTAAAATTCATTGTCGACTAATTTGAAAAAAATCTGGTCTAATTAATCACTGACGCTGTTAAGCAGTAGTTTAAATATCTACTTTATAAAATTCGCCATCCTATACTTCAATAAGCAAGTTATGTAATGTATGAGTTTCGTTAAATTAACAATTTTTTATTGTTTTCGTAATCAAAGAAAGACCAAACCAAAGGTGTTTGTCTACTTGGGATCGAGAAGTAGACCAGTCATGTGACGCTTTTAAATTTGTTTTATTGTTTGCCAGCCAAACTCTTGACGAGGATTTTATTTTGCAACTAAATGAGACAAATTTGACTGACATTCCATTACAATGACACAACAATAACTTGTTTACCTTAGTAACACTGTAAGTTATTACTTTTACATACCACAAAAGAGAAGTAATTATTTTCGTTTTTGTCTTCGGGGTGCTTTTAACCTGATGTCACTATGCAAAAATTATTTGAAAAAGTAGATGATTGTCCTGAATAGATAATCTCAGTAACGACTTTGTAATTATTTATCAATACATCTGTATATCTTCAGAAAGTGGAGATACTAAGTTTACCAGGAGTCTTGTATCTTGTATAATAGGTAATCCTCATTGTTAGATTTATTAAATATTTCAAAATATTAGTCTGACAGACAGTACTCGGCCATTTCTGCTACCCCGTCTTCAATTTCTATTATTCCTACTACATTGACTATCAACCTTATACTTCCCCCTCAAGTGTCACTATGGCCAACGATTCTAGTGTGCCGAATACTATCCCAAGTCTACTAAAACTCCTCCAAACTGCACATTGGTGCCTTCGCCGTACTTACCTTATGTGAAATCAACCGGCAGACCTCATTGTTTAAGACCCTAGAGTCTGGTACGATTGATGTATGCTGTGTTCCCGAAACACGCACACAGGATCCTAGTGTAGTCATTCACTTGACTTCATCTAGTCAAAACGGGAAGCCGACGAGATATACACTCTATTTATCTGGCGATCCGACGGCAAGTTCTTGTGGGCTGGCGGGTGTAGGCATAGCACTAAATATGAGTGCACAGCAATCACTTTTGCAATAGATCCCTGTTAACAGTCGCCTATGTTCTGTTCGGCTAAATGGCTCCGTAAGAACCCTAAAGGATAGGAACACACGTTGTTGCCATTTCGTCATTTGTGCCTACACTCCCACTGCAGCGCGGATGAAGTGTAAGATGAATTTTACAGAAAGCTTCCAGAACTTCAAAAAGCTAAATATTCAGACATAGTACTCGTGGCAAGTGACTTTCGTGCTCAAATAGGTAGCTTAAACCAAACAGAAAGACATTTGGGTGGATAGTTTGCTATTCCGCTTTAATGAACAGATAATGGTGACCATCTGTTGCAAGTGTGCTAAGACAATCGTTTATTTTTAGCAAGCACATAAGGAGACATCGTCTAACATGGTAACCTCCTGCACCAAACCAACGATGGACTCATATTGACATCAGTCATCGTTGGAGAGGCTCTACAGAAGACTGCCGCATGTTCTGGGATGCATGTTTAGACTCTGATTCTTCTCTAATACAAGCACACATCCCTTTGCTGCACCTCACTGGACGTTCAAAAGTCACATTGAGAAGACCCATTAGAGTTGCACTCAGTGACGAGAAAACCAAGATTAGATTCCAGGAACAACTGAGGTCACACTAAGCCAATTTTGAAAACGAAACTGACCACGGTGTTGCTTTGAAAGATATACAGACAGCTTCGGAAACAGCAGCTACATCTGTAGGTGATTTGAACCAAAGGGCTACGAAAAACCAGTGGAGTTTTGCGACATCTATTGCACTGAAAGGATCGTAAACTTATCCTATCGGGATCCGAACACGATGAAGAGTGAAAGCAAATCCGACCTAGGTTAATCAGGAGTCTAAGGAACGATCGTGAATAGTGATGGGCAATGAAAGCGAAAGAGATGGAAAAGGCAGCGATTGTAGGTAACACAAGACAGCTTTTCAGACTAATAAAAGAAACTGAAATTAAGAAGTCCAATGAGACAATCTCGGAAAAAAGACGGCACTTATCTGCTCGCAGTCCAGACCTTTAGAACTATGGGCGGAACATCTTAAGGAGCAGTTCAGCTACTCATCATTTCCAAATAGCCTGAATAGAACATTGAAATAGGCCCCCGACTCTAGTTGAAGTTCGAAAAGTTATGGCTAATCAGATATGAGGAAGAGCAGATGTATCGGCTCCAGAGGTCTTTAAGTATGGTGGTTCAATTTTAACGATTAGGTTGATTAATATTTTAGCTGAAATCTGGGAGTTGGACGTAATCCAATCTGACTGGTCACAATCACTTATCGTCCCAATATATAAGAGAGGGTCTAAATCATCCTGTGACAACCATAGAGGGATTAGTTTGACTAATATAGTATCTAAAATACTAGCCTCGATGATCATCGGACGCCTAACTAAGACTTGTGAACTGCAAACACGATAAAATCAGGCTGGATTTAGACCTGGTCGTGGGTGCACCGACCACACGTTCACCATACGTCAGGTTTTAGAACACAGGCACGCTTATCAGCGCCGGACAATTATAGGTTTTCTTGACTTAAAAGCAGCATTTGACTTTGTAGATCGAGAGGTTCTGTGGCAGTGTCTGTCATTGAAAGGAGTACCTCAGTACATAAGCCTTTTGAAGGCTCTTCACTCGAACACTACTAATTACGTGAGAGCCTGTGGTGAACAGTCATTTGATTTTGCAACCTCAAGTGGTGTCCGTCAAGGCTGTCCACTATCTTTATTTCTGTTCAATTTCATCAAAGACCTACTGCTGAAAATAACGTTTTCGTCGTCTGAATGTTCGAGAATCGATCTCCTACCAGAAGGTTTGCTTATTAATTTGGAATACGCAGATGACATAGTCCTGTTTGGTAAATACGCTGATGAAATGCAATCTTTAAGTAGCACTGAGCAACAATGTTTGGGATATGTTTCGCCCCCTCTAAATGCAGATTGTTGCTTGAGGACCGACCTGCATCAACACCCGAACTAAGGATAGGAAGTGAAGTAGTCAAACGCGTCGACAGCTTCACTTATCTTGGAAGTCTGATCAGCCTCAATGGGTTGGTGTCGGAAGAAATATCAGCACGGATTCGTAAAGCTCGTTGGGCTTTTGCCAACTTACGTCACCTATGGCGAAGGCGAGATATCCGTCTATCAATTAAGGGACGAGTGTACTGCTCAGTAGTTCATTCTGCTCTACTTTACGGCTGCGAACAGTGGCCATTAAGAGTAGAAGATACTCGTAAGCTACTAGTATTTGACCACAGATGCCTTAGAAATATTGCATGCATCTACTGGGATCACTGGGTAATTAATATTGAGGTTAGACGCAGGATATTAGGGAATGATGGCAAATCAGTTGATGAGGTGATGAGATGACTACAACAAAGATAAAGTAAATAAGCACATGTCAAAAACAAATTGCAAATGAAGAACGGAGTGTCTTAGAAATATTGATCACGTTTCGTAGAACGACCTAGTAAGCAATGCTGATGTTGGACAAATAATATCAGTCTATGAAATGATTGACTGTCGGACTGAGTTGTAATTTATTTATTTATTTGAACACATAAATATTGGTACAAGTGGGCACCAAATATATATGCGTCACACAAAATAATGAGAATTCGAAGAGAAAAAAAATAATAACGAACAGATTAGTGTAAGGTAGCGTATTAATAATAATCATAATAATAATAATGATGGGGGAAACGGAAAAGTACAATCCGAAGAAATCTTTCAGTTTAGGAAGTCACGTTCACTTTTATGAAGAAAGTAAAATAAAGTTACAGCAGGATCACCACTGGCATCTATTCTGAGCCATATCTGATAAAGTCTCTAACCACTGTGTAGCACTATCTCAAGCAGCCCAACCAGGGAGTCGTAAAGGACCAACAGAAGTCAGTCCTGTACAGCTTCCTTTCATACCACGAAACCATGTCATACACTGACCACCTCTCCACTTCTTCCAACCAGTCTCAGAGTCGGCAAATAATGCACGACGTGGGATTCGCTGGGACGACATTCGTAGTACATGTCCAAGCCACCGAAGTCGGTGTTTCAAGGTGGTGACACCAATTGCATTATCATCTCTGTGCCCGAACGCGCGATGCCGAAACTCTGCATTACTAACATGATTTTGCCATTGAATGTCAGCAATCCTTCGGAGACAACGATGATCAAACACAGAGAGTCGTCTAACATCGTCAACTCGGAGAGGCCAGGTTTCACAAGCATAGAGCGAGACTGCTCTCACCAACGCTTTGTAGATCCGACCTCTTACAGCCAGACTAGCATCACCAAGGTGCCAAAGATGGCCCAGATTGGCATAAGCCGCTCTGGCTTTCACCGAACGTGAATTGATCTCATCACTCACGCCACCACCAGCACTTATGCAGCTACCCAGATGCACGGACTTCTATCTGTTCAGTACAGAGAGTGAGTGCAGAATCAGGTTCTTATCAGTCTTGTAGAAGTACTTTGCACTTCGAAGGTGCAAAGCACATACCATATGTACGGACATTGATTGCCAACTGATTAAGTGGGGATTGCATGGCTTGGGCATAATCGCACAGTTAGACAATATCATCCACATACTCATAGTCGAAAAGTCTATCTCCAAGTAACAGATACATAACACCACTACATCCATACATTAAAATCTGTTTCCAGAACGTCATCGATCGCAAAGTTGAAGAGGAATGGTGAGATTTGTCAGTCCAGTCAAACCATGCCGTCATGCAACTGAAACTAATCCTCATCTATACTTTTCGGTGGAATGGTAGCTAGCTTAGAAACTAGCTCGGTTCGATACTTACTTGCAACAGAAGTTGCAACCAGCTTGCTGACATCAATCCTTTGGTGGCGGTCACTTCGTTGGCCACTGAAATGTAAGGTAAGATTGGCGCAGACCAAGGCATGATCAGAGTCCAGACAGGTACTGCAAATCACGCCGGCAGTAGCTGACCGCGATGTGATCAACGTGAATCCAGGCTTGAGATGCAGAGGGAGGACGCCAGGTGTCACATCGGCGATGACTGTGCCGGAAGTTAGTGCTAGCCAGAAACAGGTTGTGGTCTGTGCACAGTTGCAGTAGACGGTCCCCGTTATCTGTCCTGAAACCAACAACTCCCCATCGGCCACCTAAACGACTCTCTTCTGTGCCTAGACACCCGACCTGAGCATTCAAGTCTCCGGCTAGTACTACAATATCTGTCGAACGCACTTTCTGGAGCAGAACAGTTAACTGGTGGTAGAATTCGTCCTTGATTGCATCCGGGCTGCAAACTGTCAGGGCATAGGCGGAGATGACGGAAATACATCGTTTCTCACGCCGATTTCTCAATTTGATAGAACTTTCCAATCTAACAGCACATAACCGACTGTTAATGAGAATCCGGTCGATCAGTGCTGCCTCAGAATTAGTGCTCCGTGTAACATGAACTCCAGCGAAACAAGTCGATGTCACAGGGTCTCCAGATAAACGCACGTGAAACAAAATTTCCGAAGCAACAAATGGAGAGCGAATTTGTAGTACTTCACCAGAGTCTTGAATACGGGTCTCGGATAGACAACAAACATCGATAATAAGACTTTCCAGAGACATAGCCAGCCCTATCTGTTGTCCGACCTGCATAAGTGTGCGAACGTTGAAGGCAGCTAGTTTGAATGGTGCACGTGGTTTCCGAAAAACAGTATTCGTATTTGGTGGTAACATACAATTTTCAACCAGGCAGTGACTCGAGAACGTTTAGATAGAACCGAGTTTCCACCATAGGCGATCTACTGTATAAGTCGAAAAATAGAGATGCATGAAGTAGGGATAAAAGAGAGTGAATAAATGACGTAGTAAATAATAAGAATTATCTGGATCGCTTGACTGTTAATCGAAGCGTGAATAGAATTTTCAGTAAACATCGCCATTTTCATTCTATTCCTGTGTGGGATGTGATAATTCCCGGGTGCCCAGACCAAAGCAGGTGGTTTTCTTAGGGGACCACACCGCGAGCTTTTGACCTAAAGGTCTGACTCGCAAGGTAGTGGAGCTACGTGAGGAAATGCAGTCTCATGTTAGCCGGTGACCAACGATTGGTTCATACGCCATCTGTTCCCTCAGGATACTGGAGCCTGTTTCCACCATTGGCTTGGGATCTGATTAAAGCGTCGGACATTCGCTTTTCATCCTTTCGATTTCGTAAACAACACCCCCACCACGAGAAGGCAGTGAGTAAGATTTCCGTAGGAGAGGCTGTATACTCATGGCTGTGTAGGGGCATTTCGAGAGGGAGGGTGGGCCCACCCCATTCTCGCCCCTATCAGAGCATTTGGGTTGGTAGATACAGATAACCTGATCTAGGGCTGTGGGATGACAACAAAGGTTATAATGATCCAGATTCATTCTCTCTTTATCCTGAGTTCCGGTATTCCTTCATACATACTTTCCGATTATATTTATTCTGAACCATCGGTTGAACTTACAGCAAGATCAATAACAGGAATGCAATATATATCAAGAAATGCGGGATATGAATTTGCATGCCATTGTAATGTGTGTCAGCAAAAGACACTTATACTTTACCATCAACATGAGACAGCTCTGATGGCTAACGCGCTCGACTTTTAATCGTTGAGTCGTGATTTCAAACACCGCTTCACATGATTTAGTTTGGATAATTGGATTGTATCACCAACCTTCACATAAACTGTGGAATAAATGCTAAGAGTGTGTGCTTTTAATTGATAAACAATTCATATCATTCTCTTATTTTTAAATCAAATTAATGGATATTTATAAATGGGACTCTGTTCAAAATCTCATTTACATTGGTCAACTTGCTAGTAGTATGTAGTCGATAAGATTGATTACGTAATATTCGTTAAAGGTTTGAAAATTGAACCAATTGTTGGTCACCAGATACCATGAGACTGCAGTTCCTCACGTTGCTCCACTGCCTTATGAGTCAGACCTTTAGGTCAAAGGCTCGCAGTGTGGCCTCCTAACAAAACCACCTGCTTCGGTCTAGGCACCTGGACAGTATCATAGCCCTCACACAACTAAAATGAGATGACAATGAAACATAGTAATATTCCCACTGGTGAGGCAGTCGATGTACATATGTTCTGCTTTTCGAATCAATTTCCACTGGGAACTAGCATCAACAAGAGACATGTATCGAATATTTGTCTACCAATAAAAATATAAGCTAGATAGACCGTAGTGATGTCTCAACCATAATCGATAAATGGAAAAGAGAGAATTTGTCGCTGTATATGTGCGTGTGTGTATCTTTTCATTTAACAGATAAACAAGTTATTTTAATCCTAAAACCGTTCGCAATAGTTTTAACTTCACATCCTACTGTGAAGCTAACAGTTAGTTACATATAGTCGGTTAGTTGAATATTGTTTCAAACTTTCATTTACTGCACATACATATACACATGATTATTGATTTTTATTCATAGACCAAGTCGATATTGTGTGGTATATATATGCGTGTTTGTGTTTGTCCATCAAATGTGCTACATTAGATGGAAGAATAGAGTAGTCACAAATACATACACCTTAAAGGTCCATATTTCTTATGCATAAATACAGTTGTCGTGGCAAATCTGGTAACATACCAAGACAGAAGTGTACATAAAGAAAGACATTGATTTTTGTAGTTCACATCTCTTATCTGTAAAATATAGGGAGAATACATTATTCCCCTTATTTTCGAAATACACCCTCCCCCTTCATTTTCATTACTTTGTTTCTGTTTTCGCATTGATGGACAAGATGTTTAAAGAGGAATAGAGGAAAAAACATTTTCATCTGTGTTCACTGTTACACACTCACTATTTTCCAGACAATGAATAGTTGGAAATCATAGAAAAAACCTTGATGATAGAATTTTCACCTTGCATTTAATTGGTCAACTGATATTAACTGTGAAATAGTCTAGATTTATGATAGATTTTAGAACTGTTTGATAGAGTATGAACGCGTTTGTGTTTGTGAGAGTGCATTTGTATTTTATTGACATGCTTGTTAATAATTACAAGTTTATTGTAACTGTTAAAACTTTAATGGTATGATTCATACACTAAAAATTGTTAATATCAAAAGAATTTCACTATTTGAATGAATGTGTACGTGTGTGTATAACTGAAATCTCTTGATTTTTATCATATCTAATACTTGCATTTTCAATTTTCTTTTGCAATTCCAATAAACGTCTGTTAAGCTCTTTAAATTTTAGTTAAGAATCCCACACTATGTGGTTGTTTTATTTCGGCAGCTAGATAGTATATGCTTAGGCCGCACACAACTAAAATGTGTAATTCCAAAGCCTAGTAAGTGAACTTGTGTCTGGTAAATGAGTTGCATGCTTAATTGCTCCATCTGACTAGTCTCAAATGACTGAAGACGTTATTTTTGTTATTTGAAAGTGATTTCCCATTATAAACTAGTGTGAACCGGAGAACCATTGAGAGTGTTAAGGGGATAGGAGCCTGACGATTGTAGGTTTTGATCAGGCTGGATCAAGAACACACTGATTGGTCTATTCCCACTGCTGGCGGCCGAATCGAGATGACAGATGGATTTTATTGAGATTCTATGTAAACTACTATTGTGTCTTTATCG